GATTAGAAGCATCAGGAACCATTTCTAAACTTACATCTGCAACAAAACTGGTTTTATATGAATGATATTAGTGAATCCAAACGAGTCAGCGTGTGTGTGTGTGAATACATATTGTTTTCTCAAAGGAAATTTGACATTTTTCAAATTCACATGCGTTTTGCAGACTGGTGTTAAAATGTAATGCGTTTTCATTTTTTTTTGCATTTTGTCCTGATCTCAGTAACTCTGGACGCAGGAAACATGGAAACTGTGCCAAACTGTGTTTCCAGTCTTCAGCACTGTGTTCAGGATAATTGACAATGTTCTGTTGATAAGATGGAGCTTAATCCTTTCTGTTAAATCTTTGTGACTACTGCTGCTGCTTTCTGCTCTCTGTCAGCCTTCAGTGGGTGACGTCCAAATGTCTACGGCTCTATTTTCTGAGTGTCTGAGTGATGAATAAGGCCAGATTTCACATCAGCAGAGGTTCGCAGTAACTAGCTACACTTACTCAGTTACATGTACTCAAGTAATATTTTAATGGATTTGTACTTTTCAAATGATAGTTTAATATCAAAGAAGAAATGGATGTATGCTTTGCTCATGAACATTTAGTTGTTAATTCCTTCTGGGTTCAGATCTGTTACGCTGGTGACAGCATCAGCACTGCTTTGTGACTGGTCACACCTCTAACTTTGGAGCTTTAGCATTTCATTTTAGATGAAAGGGATCTAAAAAGATAAGAAAAGTACAATCCTCAGTTCCTATGCTGATAGATATTGGAGGGATTGAGAAGTTTCACAGCAGTTGTATAGTTTACTACAGTTTACTTAGTCATTATTTTCAGAATACTTTACACACCAGAGGAGGATGGGTTCCCCTTTTGAGTCTTGGTTCCTCTCAAGGTTTCTTGTTCTTAGGGAGTTTTTCCTTGCCACTGTCGCTATTGGCTTGCTCATGGGGGCTTGGACCCGAATTTTTCTGTAAAGCTTCTTTGCGACAACACCTGTTGTAAAAAGCACTATATGAATAAACTTTGACTTGACCTCTGCACTTGGAAAAATGTAAGAATATCAGGTCTGATGTCACGGTTACACATGTTCGCTGCCGATTAATAACTTTTAACTTTGAATAACATTCTTATTTAATCAGTCATGGATTTCTCAAAAGCATTGCAGCACTAAGATGGCACATGTAAAATGGGTAACTCCCTTGGAACATTTCCTATTTGTCTGCATCTACGATGTCCATCATATTTAAATTATAAAAAGGTTTGTGGGAGGTAGGCCGGGAGAAGACAACACTAAGATAACTAAAACAAGTAAAACAATATGCAAATGGATGATGCCAGTTATTATTTTGGAGATACATGGTTTTGTTCCAACAGCAACATTATAAAGAACTTTGTCTTCTGTTAAGTGAATAAAGCTTCAAAGATTTCTATTTGAAGAAATGTAAGTACATGTAAGAACACACTTACAATCACCATAAGAAATGCACAGGACAATGCTCAGTGCTTTTAAAGTTTTATTTTTTTATACAATCTAGAAGTTTTTTAGTCCAGTGTTGCCATTCACAAACCTGTCTTAAACAATTAACTTCTGTCTCTGTGAATTTACTGTTAAAGAGGCTTGATTAAACCTAACTGTTCATTTTACAGTATAATTATGCAGTATACAGTCATGTGCAGAATTTGAACACTCCTGGTCAAATGACATGTGTAGTTTAAGTGAAAATAAGCTAACATGTCCTTCTATATAGCACATTCACAATTTCTATCAATTTGCTTAGCTTAACATTTTTGGAAAAAATGAAATATAAAATGTGCTATTACTTCTGCACAGGCCATTTTATGTTTAATTTCTTCTCCCCAATATGTTCAATACAGCTAATAAACAGTAACTATAGGTGTGTTCTGTAGGGAATGTGTTAACTTATTTTTCCTCAGAAATACAACAAAATGTGATTTAACCAGTGGCACCCAAACTTTTGCACATGATTGTATCTGCTGTCACAAGAAATCTCTATTTTTGACGGATTATTATGTTTTTTTTTACTATACTGAGAGCAAACTGTCCCCTTTTTGCTCTTATAGCTCCAAAAGCTAAACAAATCAATTGTGCACTGATAATAATCAGAATTAATATTAATTATGCCAAAGAATTGGAGAACCCTGAAGTGTTTGTCATTTCCTGAAAGGCTGCCGTTCTGAAGACTCAGGCCGACAGTAAAATGGAAATGCAGATGGAAATAGAAAATGTGGGACGACACATTGTTCTTTGTTTACATTACATCGTTATTGATTTTGTATGACAGTAATGTCAGAAAGACCGTGGACATTAGAGGCTGCACGCTTATATTACTGTGACCTGGCAAAAATTCGTAAGTGCAAAAAGAGAATTCACCCTATCAAATAAGGAAGGAAAAAGGAGAAATCAAAAAGTTTAGCTAAAATATTTAAAAATAAATTTATGTATATAAATCTCTATACTTAAATATGTACATGATGTGCAAATAAAACAATTCATATTAATTTAAACTGTATGCAGAGCTGTTGAATATTGTCATTACTCATTTGTATACGTCAGTTTACTCACTGTAGCTTTTGCTAATGGCACTATTGTGGAAATCCTAAAGATATGAAGAGGCGAAAAACATCCTTCAGATATGCATTAACTGCACACCAACATAGCAACAGAAGTAAAAGGGAATAATAATAATAATAATAATAATAATAATGAAAAACTTGGGTTAAAGTGCTCTCTTGATCAACCTAAAAAAAAAAATAAAAATAAACAATAACAATGAAAGAGTCTTGTTCGTGTTAGCATACTACAGGTGGAAGCAGTGAAAGAGATCAGGGGTTGGCTGGTCATTGGTGGCAGCTGGGTGAGTTTTAACAAACATTTACAGATCATATACAGGCAGACTGCAGCCAGCTACACTGCGACTACAGGTATATACTCAGGTAGTGGGATGATAAAAGGCAGCACACATGACTACAGCGAAAAACAGGCCATAAAATTAAAGCAGGGATTAAGCAGCAGGACAACCCTACAAAGAAAACTTTCAGTGGACATTTTGTGCCACTTAGGAATGTTTAAGTTACGCACATACATAAATCTTCACATCAATATCCAAGATTTAACCCCTGAAACGCTGAAGAACAGTCGGCCTTCTTCACTTTCATAACTACACAACTTACATACAGTCGTAGACAAAAGTTGTAAGTTTTGGTGATTTGGAGACCTCTATGGAGGAAATGCACGCAGCATGTGGACGAATGTTTTATAACATTGGTTGTGCCTCTTTCCCCTTCCCCGAGTGGATGAATCTGACAATTGTGAGCAGGCTGAAAGAGTATTCAAAGAAAACTCGGTCAAAACCCTGTGAAGAACATGTCTTCTGAAGCTGTAAGTGAACTATTATCCGCCATTGTCCTCATCTTCATCAGTATAATACTGATTTTGAGATCAAGCCAAACCTTCGTTCCGAGGCCCCCAAATTACTATTTCAGGCTTTATAGTTGTGCAGCAGAGCACAGGCACCATATTTTAGCATATTTTTAAATAAACAGTAATTGTGCATTAAAATGTGCAGAGGTATGTTCTCTGTAGAAGATGCGTGCTAAAAATCCACAAAACAGTATTGATCAGGGTGCTAAAACTTTTGCACACAACCGTATTAGCTTAATAGTACTTAATGAATAATTCATGGCAGTCACAGAATAACAAGTCTTAAGATAAACAACCAGAGTTTAAGGGGTTAAACCATACCTCGCTTCTTCTACAGACGGCTCACTATACTCTAAAGTTATCTCATATTATGCTGACTATTACTGTATTGGAGTATGTGCTGAAACAAGCTGTTTAAAGACTGAGCCAAGAATATTTGTTAGTGTATCTTCATTATAATTATAGCAAAGCTCTTTTTTTCTAAGCACCTACATTTCCACATCCAGAACAGGCTGGTTTTTTTTATGGCTGTTTTGAGATCCACAACCATAAAGGAAGGAAAAGAGCCTTGAGTGGAAAAACAACCTCCTCTCAAGTAGACTTTAGAAACGGACAAAACATTAACATTCATGTAATAGTCGTGACAGCTACGAAGCAGGCCACTTAACTCAAATGGACGTTTCGAGTATACATGGATGCTTATGCTATATTTGAATTACAATTCATAATGACGCTGTTACGTTTAGCTTTGACTGACTCCACTGTACTGAACACTTTGTGTGGCTACAGGGCTCTGCATGGTTAAGCTGTAGGTGGTTTTGATTAACCCCTTATACTGCAAAGGCCTGTATGTGGACCCCCGACTCTCATAACTACACCACTTACATATTAATTCCAATTCCAGTTAGTGAATAATAAGGCTTTAAGGATTAAAGGAATAATTCAGCATTTTTTAACATGATCTCCGCAGCACATACAATAACGGACAATAGCAGACAATAAGGTGGACCATTTCTCCCGTACTTAGAAAGGAAAACACACAGTGGTGTGCTAAAGTTTGTACTCCCCCCAGTCAAAAGACATGTTTTGTTGATGTTTTAGTGCAATTTCTTCTTGTTTAACATATTGAAAAAAAAATGTAAAACGAAAAATGTGCGATGTTTTTTTCCAGCATGTTAAATTCAGCAAAGAAAAATTGTGTGGTAAAATGTGTGTTCTCTGTAGAAGATGTGCACTTATTTTCACTTAGAAAAATAACAAAAGTCATTTGACCAGGGGCACCCAAATTTCCACACACAATTGTACTGCACAAGACTGTGACCAATGCAGAATGGGTCGGATTAAAAACCTGCCCACTGGCTTCTATAATAAGGCTTTTCTGTTCTTTTCTAAGTACAGGAATATAATGTCCATCAATTGTATGCAACAGAAGCAGCAGACTGAGAACAGGTTAAAAACCTCTGAAGTTTTCCTTTAATAACTGAACAATAAGCCTGCAGTTTAAGGGGTTAACTGTGTTGCTACCTTTCTCAGTAAGCTTTAGGCTGCTTATAGCATCCCATGGTATTTTTTTTTTTTTGTTGTTGTCATCTGCCTTTCCCTAAAACTCCGCTACTGTAAGACGCTGCACTGCATGTCCTAATCATCACTTCTAAAACACAGTGTTAGGATGACTGGCCATCCCCTGACCCCCTGCTTTAGCCATAGAGCAGAATGCGTATCAGTGCCGTGGCTGAGTGTTTTATTGGCCTGCTGCGTTTCCCAAGCGAGGCCAGCCCGTACGCGTGTGCAGTTGGGTTAGGCGGCCACGTGGCCGATCAGATAGATGTTGTCGTAGAGGTGACCCACAAAATCCTCACTGATGTTCTGCGCCGCCCTGCGGGTGTTGCGGATGAACTCTCGCTTGGACATCTTGTTCTTCACGTGCGGACTGCTGAGGTCGATGGACAGCAGGATGAGTGAGTAGCACAGCACGTACACCGCATCTGCAAAACACACAGGTTTTTTGGTTGTTTGTGAGAATCTCCATTACAGACTGCTTATTTAAATGAGTTTAATGTCTACTCGTCTACTTTAGAGAGGAATTCCACCGATTTTTCAAAATGTCTGCATAGTTCAATTGCTAGGATGTAAACAAAGTCATTTAGAGTGGCTTGATGAGAATGAGTACATTGTTGAGAGACTTAATAGCTTGAATGTCTATTACAGTGGTGGTGATGGGAACCAGGCGTTGCAATGTCTACAATGTTATTGTAGCCATTTTATTTCTCTCTGCCATGCACTATATTAAAAAAACAAAAAACACACCAAAATGTTCATTGTTAAAATAAAAAGATATATATAGGCCCAATATATATTGCTGCTATTTTTACTATCATGTGCAAATGTTTGAACACCTCCAGTCAAATTACATATTTTATTGAGTTTCTAAGTGAAACTATATATAATATAATATAATATATAACTATAAGTCAACACATTCTCTAAAGGGAACACTTTTAAAATTTTCTGCTAATTTTGGTGCGTAATTTGTATTTATTAGCATACATTTGAGTTTAACACATTAGAAAAAATAAAACATAAAAAATAAAATGTGCCATCACTTTTGCACAAGCCACTCTTGCACTCATTTTTTCCTCTCTATATTATAATAGAAATAAATAATCAGTAATTATACATCAAATGTCATACTAGGGTTGGGCAATATGACAATTTTTGATTATAAATGACAAATTATATCACAATATAATATGTTTTTCTGAACATATCATGGATATTGTCAGTACTTGCAGAACACTGACCAACTGCTTATTTCATTATGAATAGAGCAAAATTAGTCCTGTTTAACTGTATTTAGTGCAAAGCAGTATGCCAAATATTGAGCAAATCATTATATTCATAGTTTTTGATAATATATTTTTTTTAAATGTAGCTCTACTGGTTCCTTTTTCTCTTTTCCAGCTGATCAGATGTCTGAAAAAATAAATATTTGTGGCATATCGTTTGTTGTGAAAATTTTTTTGTAGCATTGCGATATTACATTTTTGCCATATCGCCCACCATGTCATACAGCATCAAATAACATATCATGCTCCTGCAGCCCTTTACTCTGTGTGGAAATTTGTGTAAATTTGATTTTGTTAACACTTTGTTTGAATAGCCTACTGTAGATGCTTAACTTACATGTAAATTCTACTTAACTAAACACCTATACACCCTTACATTTATACTGCTCCTAAACCTAGCCCTGGTTCTAATCTTTCCCAATTCTATCTCTGTTAAAGGGAAATTCCACAGATGTTTCAAATTTTTAGCATAATTAAATGGTTAAGATGTAAACAATATAATTGAGAGTAGTTTGATGCAAAATACTTTGTTCTAGAGAAACTGTTCACAATGGTGGTGAAAGGAACCAGATGTATAAATAGTTTAATACTCCTCTTTTTGGTTGCAAATATGCTGCCTGATGCCCGAGATATTGTTTTATGATAGTTTTCAATAAGCTTTTGACCTAAAACTTATTTTCAAATCCATGCAGAGAGATATTTTTCAGATTATCCACTGTTTTACCTTTATCAACATTACACAGAAACACTTAAAAGGCATGTGTATGTTCACTGGTGGTTTTGGATGGTACATAAAATGGATATATATTGTGTAGACACTGCAACACCTGGTTCCTGTCACCACCACTGTAAAGAAATCTGAGTATGTAAATTTTCAAGAATGGTGTATTTCACATCAAACCATTCTGAATGACTTTGTTTACATCTCAGCCATTAAATTACGGAGACATTTGGTGAAAAGAATCATTAGAAATCTGCTTTAGGATTCTACTTTCCCCATACAGTTTATTAACAATTTGAACATGTGTACATAATGTATAGGAGACTATCCAACTGTGGGACCTCGATTTTTTCCATAAAAGCTTTAAAATCCATTCAGATGGCAATAAATACTTTGAAAACATGTTCAAAATGAGAAACATTTTAAACAGCCATCTTCGTATTTTTATTTTTTTAGCAGCCATATTTGTTGTGTAAGGCAACAAGGGCCACAGTAGGAATAAATCCAGCTTGCTCGTTCATAATGAATCACTGTACACTCGGGGCAGGCAGCAGAAGGCACTGGGTCAGCTGCTCCAGCAGCGTCCTGCTCTCAGCTGGCTGGAGCGCTGCCCTGCTCTGCTAACACTTTAAGCCTCTGGGCTTAAGTGTGGATTTGGAGGCCAGTGACAGTGTTAGTACCACCAGCAGTCTCACAGCGCTGCAGCCACTACCAGCCGCTCAAACCACACTGATTACGCACTGTGGATGCAAATCGGTCTTTCTGCAACAGGCCTGCAGTTTATGTTGTCTTCATGTGCCATCAGAATTATTATAAGTACAGGTTGATGACATAAAAGTCATAATTACAAGTGGAAAGCATTTTGATTCCAGAGTTTACAACTTGTTACCGACCTTTACCCTTTCATCATGACGGGGGAAAGGATGGTTTCAGTGGTCAATGCCAGGTAATTCTTTATTTTTCTGAATGTAACTTTTGTTTAGTAGTCACTGCTTATGTACCTACTATGAGGAAAACAGCAAAATAGATCAGGCTAGTTAATCAACTAATGTTAGCCAGTGATCTAAGTAAGTCTGACCAAACAATTCTTTCTTTGGGCCATTTAAAAGAGAAATGGTCAACTGCAATCCCATGAAAGTGTTTTCCTGTGATATAAGCATGCCCCCCAGGAACAGCCCTAACAAGATATTTAGAGAAGCTGGGCACTTATCCAAAAGTTTTTATCCAAAAGGAATGAGAAGGCAGCATCAGCCTAGAGTTTCAGCAACAAACCCATTGGTCTGCTGAGAAGTATCTGGACTTGGTTCTAACTTCACAATGAGTCTATTTGGTTCTGATTCTTTAGGAAACAATTCAGAGCATCATGAAATCTTGAATTTTACATGATTTTGGCACAATTCAGTATTATTTAAACAAAAACAAACAAAAATGAGATACACTAATGTGCCTGGAGGAAGTATTTACATAGTGGAATCTAGACAACAGGAAATAATTTGCATATGAATGTTACTGAATATTATTATAATCCATTATAAATCGCTTCTAACATTGCACAACCAATGCAGCTGACTTGCAGAAAGCACTTTTGCTCAGCACTCACCTGGAGTCAGGCCCACGTCCCTGACCAGCGTAGGGTTGCAGGCGCAGAATCGGTGGGAGAACTTCGTAATGAGGGTCTCCAGGTACTCCCCTCGCTCCTCTGGGGCGTGAATGTGTCTGAAGAAATCTCTCAGCGCATTGGGCAGGAACTGGTTACTGAAGTTATGTAGTGTGACCAGCTCGTCCAGCACATCACGTCTTTAGGGTTTAAAAGACCATTGTCAAAAGAAAAACATCATTATTAACATAGTATTAACTAATAACTAACTATATTAAAGAAATACTTTATTCAAAACATGTGCCATTATTCTTTTGTGTATTTAATTTTCCGCCAATGTGGTCTTCCTGATATCTATGTACTATCTATATCTATGCTTCATTTGCTGTAGTCGGCCTACTGAGCAGCACTATGGCCAGCGTTGGCTGTTTTTTTAAATGTGCTATATAAAAATGACTTGATTTTGACCAATAAATAATAAAATAAAAGCTAGTAGAGGACTGTCACTGGGCTAACTACACCACAATGACTAATCTCATTTCAGTAGCTACACTGATAACAAGAAAGGGTTATATATAGTATTCAAAAGGGGTTCTTTGACTCGTAACAATGATGAGTCCCTTTTTTATGCTACACAGAATCATTTTTAAAATACTTTTTAAAGAGCCATATATAGCTGGTCTTTCCATGATAGAGAAAAACCATTTCATATCATACAAAGAAGCATTTATGCATTCAAATGGTTGTTAGAGTGTTTATGGTCCCATTATAGAACCATTGCCTTTACTAACAACCCTTGAGAAAACATTACATGTACATTTCCATCCAAAGGATTTTTTTTTGAAAACACTTTAAAATGTCTGTCAACACAGGCTATGGAAATATAATTTGTTGGTAGTATTTTATTAATGTAGACAAAACATTCTGCTCTCGGGCAGAAAAAAAAAACTGTCGATACTAGAAATGTTGCAAAAACCTACACTGGAAAACCCACACTTTGTTTTGTGAAAAAGAATGCATTTATGCATAGATTTGGTGTCATGTGGCATATTTTCCCCTCACATGGCTTTTACAAAAAACACAAACAAACACAGACAGCAGGGTGGACAGTTACAGCTGCCATTTTTCAGCTCTTGCAGAGAGAAATGTCCAGAAAAGACTACAGCCTTTCTAAATGAATAGTGCTCAAACAGCTTTATATGGCAGAGTAATGTGACGCCTTGCATAACGGTTTGATAGAAAAAAAAATGAATCTAAAATTAAAACAAATAAATAAATAAATCTGTGAGTCAGGAAAGTAAGGGAAGCCAAATGTATACAAATTGCAAAATACATTAAAAAAGAAACATGATAAACCAAAATTGACAGTGAATGACATCAATACGTAAAGCATTTCCATCACTAAAAGTCAGTTAGAAACTAGCTGCTAGGAAAATGTAAACTGTTTTTTATGCATTTTACTGCTTGCAATTTGTGCAGAAAGCAGGCAATGTAGCTACAAGCAATGTAAGCAGGAAATGTAGCTACTAGTAGTCCGGTAAACCAAATTAAAAATCAAAATAACTTCTCGAAAATTGTTCGAAATGTGTGATGCGTCTATCAAATGAAAAAAAATCTGCAGGAGCTCATGAAAATCTGTAGGAGCTCATGAAAAAGCAGAAAACATGACCTTTCACTTTCAATCGGTCTAAAAATGTAACAAACCGTTCATCAAGGTAAATCCGTAGCATCTTCCAATTCAGCATTCTGGTGTAGAATATGAACTTGGCAATTTCCTTCGGGTGGTCCACAAGAATGCCTTTGGACATGAGGTAAGTGATACCCTGCAGAAAGAGCACCCATGAAACAGGTCGTGAGAGAGAGAGAGAGAGAGAGAGAGAGAGAGAGAGAGAGACAGAGACAGAGAGAGAGAGAGAGAGAGAGAGAGAGAGAGAGAGAGAGACAGAGACAGAGACAGAGACAGAGACAGAGAGAGAGAGAGAGAGATATTCAGTGCCAAATTGCAAATTGGGCCAGAGCACAGCTATCATATGTCCTTTAAGTGGAGGCCTAAAGCTGTGATAATGCAGCTAATGAGACAGACAAAAACACTAAAGCGCATGCAGGTCCGACTACCCCCTCATCATTAACCAAAACACAGCAGCGTCTACATTCAGCCGCTTAGCCTAGCATAAAACAGCAGCAGTGTGTACGAGCGTGAGAAAGGAGCTGTTAGCTCTTTTCACCTCCTGAGGGTTAGCGTTGAACGTCAAACTTCCTTCATCTAGTTGCATGTAGAGCTTTCTGTAGGAGAAACCAGGAGGAAGCCTCCTGTTGTATATGGAACAGTGACCCCAAGTGGACTTGCACAGCCTGGAGGTCACAGAGAGACAGCGTTTAGAAACACAGCACAGGCCTCAGTGTTTTAGAGAGAAGGGGAAAAAAAAAACAAAAACAACAAAAAAAAAACAAAAAAAACCACAAAACTACTTCTGGATGTCATCAAGCCATTAAACTAAAACTGAGGAAATATATCAGAATGCTTTCAAGGTGTCAATGTTTCCACATTGACAAAATCTATTCTATAATACAGTAGATAATGTCATTCAATACTACTAAAAAGATCTACTACTAGATAAAAAGATATACACCTAGAATAATCACTGAAAAGTGACTCAGGGACTTTAGCAATATGACGAATGAATTCATACGTTGTTAGCTATGTTATCAAATATGCTAACAAGAATTAATACTCTTTATACTTTTAACATTAATTGCTATATTAGTTTTGGTTAACCCCTTAAAGTGAAGCCTTATTTAGGAACTACTAAAGGTTTGAGGTTTACCAGTTCAAAAGTGAATACCAGTATGATGTTCTCTCATAAAATGAATTTTGCCATCCTGTGATAAGCCTACAAACAGTGAACCACAAACAGGGCTGCCCCAAGACAAACTAAACATGAGCACGAACAGCTTCAATAACTCTGATAAACTGCAGTCACTGCTATGTTAATCAGTGCAGTGTTTGCACTGTGGCGTGCACACAAAGCCAGTGTGTTTCTAGACGTGTGCCAAGTGCAAGAAGCATCATGAAGACATTCTGTGTGCCGCACTATGCAGTGTTTGCACAGATTCTCACTTTAAGAGGGTTTCCATTTTTACTCTCATAGGACAAAACAGATTTAAAGTAAAGGTTGAGCACAAAGAAGAACAAATCAGCTCGTAACACTCACACAAAGGGCAAAACTTAATACCATAAACTTTACTCATTATGGCCCTGAGGGACAAATATAATAACTAAAAGGGAACTTGAAGGGTGTAGAAAGTTTGTTGCTTATTAATGTGTGAAGAAAAAGGGGTTTTATGTCATTCTTTAGCATGTAACATTACACTTGTTATACTGGGTTTTTCATTATTGTGTAGCCAATCTTGACAGGAAAGGACCATTTGACTGACTTTCAAAACGACAAATCACAGACCAATGTTTTTGTGTGACGCATAGGGGTAGATGAGTTTTAAAAACAGTGCTACCACAAAACCACAACCGTGGGGTAAAAAGCTTTACACACTGCAAAATATCTTGCTTTACAAAATGCTTCAAAGAAAGTTCTTGAGTTACTTGTAAAGATGTGATGCTCTGAAATTCACATTTAAATTTTTTTTTCTAATCCTGCAACTCTATCTGCTGGCAACTGCTGGCAGAAGTTTGTTTTGCGTTGGAAGAGTGTATAACCAAACAGAATGTACCTGACAAAATCCTGACAGTTGAGGTCAGCTTGATGTATAACAGATGTCAGATACTGAGACTGCATCAAAAATCTATTTTTTATAGATAACAGTATGTCATTCAGTGTCAGAACCCCTGTAAGCAAGTCTATTTGAGATTACTTAACAACTCAACACAGTTCGAGGCACACGTGTGATGATTTAGACACAGAGTTACCACCATGCTAATTGGTGGGGTATAACCATCCATAACTTGTTAGCTTCATAGCTCCAGTGCATAACTAAAGAAGCAAACTTCAGCTGTCAAACATGTCTTGGCTGATCAACGATACTTGGGTAAAGTGAAAAATTATATGAATGTAATTTTTCGCCAAACTATTCTTTTAAGTAGTTAAAATTTTCTGATAAATCTGATAAATCGAAAATGTATTACACACACAGCAATTTTATCACATTCCAAAAAGGTAAGCTTTGTCCATCACTGACCCCTGCCACAGATACTCGTCGTTGCCAAGGTCTTGCCACACGCAGGAGGCCAGGCAAAGGTCAGTGGCGTTCAGGTATGACAGGATGGTGATGCTGAGCTCGGGTGGCAGCATCTCCAGGTCGATGAAGCCCTGCTGCTCTTTGCCCTTGCGGGCGCGCAGCAGCTGGCCGATGTCTGAGCCGGGGACCTGGCACTGTGGCGTCCGACGCGGCTGTGGCTCGGCCAGTAGTGGGCCCATCCTGCGTCGGCGCTCGCGCTGGAGGAAGCACTGCTCGCTGTACTCCTGCTGCAGCTGCTGGTTCCTCACCACCCTCCACAATCCCTGACCCATCTGCAGTCCTGTAGAAGCAGCACAACACTCACAGTCAGCACAAGACACTTAAACAGCACTCTGTGCATGTGCAACCGGAGCTTAATCATGCTGCAGGTGGAGATTCAGCTACATTGATTTTGGAATGCTTGAATCAATTATAAGAGATTATAATAATATTTGCATATGCTCACTTTTTGGTCAAAAAAAAATGTCAGATTATTAAAAAAAAATCTTTTTGTATAATTTTATGGTCTCTATTCAACTAGTCCCTCCAGTCACATTCAGTGTATGTTTTCGAATAGTTATAAAATCAAAATATTTAGGAATGCACAGTGATTTCAGAATCATAACAGTATCGGCAAATATTTGCTTAAAAAACTTTGGACAGCTGTCAATCTGCATTGTGGATAATTGATTTTCTATTAATTATGCTAACTAATGAATTCTTTGTTGTTTGCAAACAATTACCACCAATCAACAACTCACTCCAGCACTCCCTCTGCCTCCCAGCTCTGGTGTCATTATTAAGTTGTGCATCAATATGAAATATAGTTATCATTTCCTTCAAGAAAGTATGTCCATGATTTTAGGTTTTGTCGTTTAACGTTTAATCATAGACTAATAACGATAACAGTCAGTTGAAAGAATTTGTTCGCGTCCCTATTCCCTTCATGCAAATTTTGTTCATCCTATTGTGAGAATACTGAATCTCAAACCCAGTATCGTAAATCGTGGGCTAAGTGGATCATCACACCCCTTATCCTAATGTACTGTAATTATTACTTGACTTGAATTATTGGAGGTCAAAGATTTAAGGTATACACTGAAGCGTTGAGTACTGTTTAAAATGTTTCAATACCAATTAAACTAATAATAATAATAATAATAACAATAATAACAATAATAATAATAATTTGACTTCCTTAACAAACGCTGACTGACTGCAACGGATCGCATACTACTCAAGAAGCACATGTGGAATGTAATTTCGACAGCCAGCACTCTAGATTTTGAAAGAAGCATGCTTATTTTATTTTACAGAAGCATGCTTTTTTTTTCACTGATGTAGATAAGATCAACTGATTAGGTATTGAAATTTAGTATTGAAAGCCATTGAATTTTTTGATACTGAAATAATTTGGAACATATCATAAAAGTCCTGTATTTCGTTGCACAGCCCTATGCCCCTAGCATGCAGGAGTCAGCTGTTGCTTCTGTTAAAAAAAGGTATTATTGGATATTATGTTACTCTGCCTTGCCTTTCATGCTCTACACAAAAAGCTTTATTTATGAAGCTTTGCACCCAATCCGTCTCTTGACTATTTGAAAAAGAAAAAAAAAAAACCAAATCTGGATGTATCACTTGTATGGGGCAGAACAGCAGGGGAACTGCATGACCCCATTATGAGTCCCTACACGACTGCTACCTCTATTCAAACAGTCCATGAAACAGAACACTCCATGAAAAACTCCTGACCTGCTTTTTAGTGGCCTAAAGCCATTACTTTAGCGTTTTAGCACAGCGTATAATCTCTTGCCCTGATAACTTTATGCATACAGGCTGTCATTCTTCTGCCTACTGTTCGTATAAAACAAAATGGGAATGATCTATTTAGCACTGCACATTAGTGCTTCCATTTATAGCCAGCTAAACCTTCCTTCATCAGACAGCTCAGCAATAAGGCTAAATCCTTGGATCGCCCTGTTAATGTCAGTGTGAAGCTAACATTTTTGCCTCCCAGTTATGGGGGCTAAAGCCCGACTTCAACGCAGCGGCACTAATCCCCTCTCAGTGATACGCATTAAGACTTTTTATTGGCCACTATCTGGATTCCTTAGAGGGACTTCTTTTCTAAAAACCCGTCTGAAAGTCATGCTTTTTTCCCCTCTGCTAATGGCTCTTCTGAATTGTTCCTAGCTGACTTACTGTGCTGCAAAGTCAGACACAGCACTGTGCAAGAACTTCTCACATGTTCTCAACTGTCTTGCATTCAGTGTGAGTGAGTGACTGAGTGTGTTCACTCAATCCTGAGACAGTAAAATGCCATTTAACTCGCTCCACAACATTCTCTGACCTAAAAAGAAACAGGCTGGTAGAGTGTGGCTGGTCTGACTAGGAATAGTTCAGGAAAGCGTAAGAGAAACACATTTTACACTTAATAGCAAGGCAGCTGACTATTAAACTACTCAGAACACAGCAGCCTATGCTAAATAAGCTACAGTACTTACAGTACAGTACTACATACGTTCTACAGAAATGTAGAATTTGGGACTAAGTTTACCTGGATTAGTATTATGAAAAACATAGGATTAGTTCTTTAGGATTATAAATATAGTTAAATGAATAAAATGCAGCTATTTTAGTAGCCCAGTGTCACATAACTAGAGTACAATAAATGCATCATCAACTATCAGCCCATGCGGATATACATTTGCAGGCAAAAGTTTGAATATACCCCCTCGAGTTAATATGCTCGATTTTGAGTGAAAGTGAAAATAAGTTAACACACCCTCTACAGGGAACATCTGGCACTGACATTTTCAGTGACAATATTTAACATATTAGAAAAAAAATAAGACATAAAATCTAAAATATGCCATAAAAAAGGCCCATTTATGGTGTGATATTTCACCCAATACATTAAAGGGTTACTCTACCAATTAAAAAAATATATATTCTACATAATTAAATGAGATGTAAAGAAAAGCATTCGTAGTAGTTTGATGTGGAAATGCTTCATCCTAGGGACACTTACAGAGTCAGTTGTTTACAGACAGCGTTGTTCAGCAAATAAATAGAACAGTAATTGTGTGTTCAAATGTGCTGAATTTTCTAGGTGAAAATATGTGCACATTCTCTACAAAGAGAATTGATGTGCACATATTTTCACTTAGAAAAATCAACAAATCTGGCCAGGGGCACCCAAACTTTTGCCTGCAACTCTATCTATCTATCTATCTATCTATCTAGACACTTAGTCGTATGTTATGAATTCAGAAAATCATTCAGAGCTCTGTCTGTTACAGTAACCAGACAATTTAGTCTAGATATTAGGCGTGGTTCCTTATGCCACTGAGAATTCAGAACTATGAATGGTACCCCAGATATTAAACATTCAATGCTGTCATTTCGCTCTTCTGAAATAAATCCCTGAATGTGTCTCTGTTGCACTGAAGTCTTGTGTTGCCTAGGTTGACTGTAAATACTGACTCAGCCTGATGCAGCTCCAGCGTTTTCCACTGAATCACTCAGGCGAATTAAGGTACACCTGCAGCTTTTTTTTTCTATCGAGTCCAATCACAGTGATCTATCTGTATTCAGTCTGTGAATGGAAATTCCTCTTTATTCACTGGCCTCTAGCTGCTTTGTTTAAATTTGCACATATTGCTCATCATTACGTAAGTGCTTTGACGTTCATCCAATCATATGTTATTAACAGAATATCAAAGAAAATTATTGCTACTAATTTGACTGTGGGTCAAAAATTACTTTACATTTAGGGTTCAACCAATATCTATAGAGATTTTTGTTCTGTTGATGGTTTCGAAGCAACACCTAATCGACATCCCTCATCACGTTAGATTGCCGTACAAGTCCTGCCCTTGCTCACAAACGATTGGCTACACCGCAACTCAATCACAACAATAAGCGCCGCTATTGGTTGATGCAGCTGGCATTAATCCTCGTCGTAGTTTTAGTAACTGAACCTACCCACCTGTGTTTTTATGGACTTATTTTCACCGCCGCCGCGACGAAATTAACAATAATTGACAGCAGCTGATGGTGCGAAATGTCCTTCACTCTTGGTGGTCAAATGAAGTAATCATTTCTGCTCGAAAAGCTCCAAAAACAGCGGTGCGACCGATGAGACAGACTCCAGGATCAGTTTTAATCTCCTCCACCGCTCAGCAGCTCTCTCTGTTCAGCTCTCCTCCTCATAAAGCCCGCCTACTCACACTCTTATCAGTGTCATTTCAGTTATTTTTTATTTAAAAAATTGAGCCTGCGAGTGAAAGTCAGAAATCATTATTTCAAGGCCGATATACAAATTATGTTCATTTAAAAAAAACACAGAAAATAATAATAACACAAATAAATAATAAAAAGCAGTGTCGTCGTCGCGTTTGACGTTTCTTGTTTTTGGTGGAAGTGACGCAAATCACGCTTTCGCTGGCTGGGTTCATTTGGGAGAAAACCAAAACAGCACTTTCGATTGCCTATTTTTTTTAAACCTGACTGAACTCTCCGAAATATAAGTAGCGTTATCTTGAAAGTAAGAACAATTATTGAAGGCCTTAATTAAAGAGAAAAAAATAAATAAACAAGCAAATATAATTGTTATGAAAGTCCTCCGATTTACTGTTGTTGAAGGCGTTTTTAGCGAATGTGTGGATGTGAAAGGACAATCTGTTACCAGCAGCGCGCGCTTAGAAACCAACCAAAGCAAAATGCAACTTTAAAACTTCTAAAAACAAGTAGACCAGCGCGATATGAAGATTATTAGATAGTATATGTGAAGAACATACTTTATACACAAAGGATAATTTAATCCATTTATCTTCATTGTCACTCTGGGACGAAAGTGAGGCTGCTGCGCTGTTGTTAACAGTTAACATAACGATGCAACGAAACGAAGTGATTTTTATTAAGCTAACTCATATATCTAAATCTAAAGTTCATTAAATTACTATTGAATTACTGTTTTTGCTAGCCAAGGAGTATCTGCTTTATTATCACTCCGGCTGAAATAACGTTAACATTGGTACGTGGCGGAAATCAAGTAATACTGCACCTTTCGTGCGAAAATAGTTCATGTTGACTACATATAAATGCATAACCTAGCGTTAGCTACATGTCTAAAGACAACAGCTTTATAATTCATTCTGTTGTCATTTAACGTAAGTTTAATGATGTGGTATCTGTCTGAAAGCTGGGTTGCTTTACTTTTCTACACTGTCAGGCTCGGTAAGATGGCTACGATGGCTACAGGTGATCTGAAAGGAAGCCTCAGGAAACTGCAAACTTCACTCCGATCTCTGAAATATCAAAGAGAAGTCGACTACAAAGGGTATGAATGTCGATTTTTTAAAAATATTTTAATCTGCTGCCTTAATGGAAAGATGCACCATAGGTCCACAAGTACAAAGACACTCATTCTAGTTACTTTAAGGTACAACCATTGCTGACATAGGTTTTCAAGCAGAGGTTGTATAATCACCATAGAAAAGTATTGACAATAGAATAGGACACTCTGGAGCAGCCGCACATGAGATTAAGGGCACTATGCCCAAGAGTTGTCGGCTAGAGAAGGAAAACCCTCCGGCGTTGGGTTATGGAACAAAGGAACTGTGTTCTTTGGAGTGATGGAGGTCCATCTAATACCTCTGGGATGAGGTGGAGTGGCGTTTGGTGTTTTTGATGTAGAACTAATCATCCAACATCAGTACCTGACCCCACTAATGCTCTTGTGGGTGAATACAATCAAATCGTCACAGCAATCCTTTAGCGTAAAGCCTTTCCAGAAGAATAGAGGATGCTACTGCAACAAAGGCAGGGACAAACTCTCTATTAATATCCTTGATTTCAAAAGAAATGTTGAATGACTTTTAAATATAAAGTGTATTTTAGAAGTGCATCTTTGTAATGTTCCTGATGCTGCAGCACTGATTGGATCAGGCCCCATAATGTCTTGAGTTTAAATAGATTATAAGATAATCATTGTAAATACCTAAGGTATCTAAACTCTCTTTTTTTTTTATTTGGTAGAATGGTCCATGTATAAATGATATATAATTTTGATTCTTGCAGTCATGGGGTCTACTCTGGCTGTCCATTTTCATGTTGGAATTAACTGTAGTGAATAATATTTATCATGGACTGTAGTGTACATCACAGAAAAAGGCCTGACTTGTGTTAGTAATTCTCCTGCCGCTGTGTGGTTACTTGATTTTTAAGATGAAAATGTCTGAAATCATGTGGGAATGTTTCCTTTTCCCCAAACAAGGTGTGAGCTAATTCTAATTCAGTGTGCTACCTTTTCTGAAAAAACATGACACGAGTGCCTTATTGAAGTCATATTAACAAGAAAAAAGTGGTTTGAGGTAAATAGAAGCTTTGAATGAATGCAAGGCTGACTCATAATCCCATATCCATTGTTATTTTATCGAAGAGACTTACTATTAAAGTATATTACTAAAGTACATTTAATCAGCAGCATACATTTCCAGGATGGTTACTGGCACTCATATGGAATAAGTGTGTTAAGTTCACGAGACTGTCTTAAAATAAGAATGGTAATGTGGGAAATAAGAAGGGAGATGTGTGGAAAATCATTGTTTCCCCACCCTACATGATTGTGGGAATAGTACAAATTATATGAAAAAAAAGTGCTGCTGATCTTGGCCTGTCCTTAAAATACACAATATAATGCTTTGTTGATTGTATCTGGAAATGTGTCTGCATTTTCAAAGGAATTTGGACTGTCAACACCATGTAGCCAAGCATGTAGTTTAGAGCTGATCCCAGTTAAGTTGACACATCATTTATGTAGTTGATGGTTACATGTTGGAAGCAATATTAAAGGAAAGTGACCTTTGTTACTTATGATGTGGCTTTAAGGTTGTGATCTCTCATCTATAATTGCTTAGGTGGAATAGTACTTTTGTTGGTTTGTCATTAGTTTCACACTTGAAGCAGAAGTTTAAGAATTGATAAGGCACTTGGGTATTACTACAGTATCTGTGGTGTCCACTGGTAATTACTCAAAACAGTTATACTAGTGTAGATGGTCAATTTTAAGGGCTATTAGATTTATTAGCAACATACATGAGATGAGGAGAAGGTTAACAGACATGCTAGATGCTGTACACAGAGCAAATCTTTTACTATTATTCAATCATTGAGGTGTGTACAAAGTCATTCAAAGTGTTTTAAAGTAAAATGGTTCACTGTAGAGAAACTACTGACTCAGATTTCTTTACAGTGGCGGTGATAGCAACTAGGTGTCAGTGCAAATATACCCATTATATTTAGAATCTAAATGACCAGTGAATGCACACGTCTTTTAAGGTTTTATAAGTAAAAGTAAGTAATAATGGTCAAATAGTAGTCAGTCTGGGGGGATGTTTTCTTTTTGGATTATTTTGCCTTACAATGCTCTGCATGTACCTCTCCACCATGAATATATTTAGGCCAAAAGCTTATCTCAAAGCTATTGTAAAACCATGTCTCAGGCATTTAGCAGCATATTCATGTAATAAAAAACATTTCATGTAATAGCTCTCTGTAAGGTAGCTTCTTTAGGCATTTAATACTTAAGACCACCACTGAACAATTAAGACTTGTTAAGTTTCTCTAGAATGGAGCAGTACCCATTAAACCACTCTGAATGACTTATTAATGATTGAATCATGCAGAAATGTTATGGAATTCTCTTTTCCTTCCATAAAAGATTTCTTGCAAAGAGTTCCTTTTTATAGAAGAGCTGTTATGCAATATGCTAAAACAAAAACAATGTTTCACTGTCTAGTTACTTAAAAACTGGGCTGTATGAATAGTTAGATATTCATAAGAAGTACCAATATTGGCCAAAAACCGGTGCCTTTTCCTAGATGCAAAACAATAACAGAAAATAATGTAAGAATCCAGTTGGTCTAAATGTGTAATTTTATAATGTGAAAAATGTTGAAACCCTGGGGGAGCCATGCATCTGGTTGCTCTCTCAGGAAATCAGATTGACAGCTCCTCTTGATCTCATTTTCATCAGTGATGCGCTGCTGTAAGCAGAACCACCTGCCTGAGTCTCAGTAGATATTTGGAATGCCAATATGTCCATGCCTGTTTATTCACAACCAGGGCTCTGCCTCACGACGCAGGATTTCTTGCTTAGCCAGCTTACTTTAAGCTTTAAACTTAGTTCATTCTAACCCTGGATTTTTAGTCTCACAGACATGGCAACTTATGCTGCATGCCTGTGCAGTTTAAGTTCAGGATTACAGATCATAAATAGCTCTTGGACCAATCAAGGTAGAGTTTTGGACCAATCAGGAACAACCTTCTGACGGAGGTGGATGTAGGGGTGGGCAAAATGGCAACAATATATCAGGATACAAAGACATTTTCACAGTACACAATATTTATCATGATATTTTGACACACAGACACAGTGTACATTTAGTGCCATTTAAAAAACTGCTGTAAAAACTGGGCACACTGATTTACTGTGCTGCACTAAAAATAATTAAACCAGACTAATTATGTCCTCTGCCGTATGTTTCAGTTCAGTTGTTATGTTCAGACTATATCCCCATCATGCACAGAAAAGCAGATTGTGTATCATGATAATAATGATAATATCATCAGATTGCCCGCCTGAGGGTAGACCTTTCTTATGCTTTTCGGATCGCTTATTTTTGTCAGCTATGTTTGTTAGTTGTGCATGCTTTGTGAAACAGGCTTCAGATAAAATTTAATAATGAAACATTATTCTACACCAGATTTTAATGAGATGATAAATATATTTACTTTTATAAAACGATGCAAAATATATATATAATTTGCATAAAAATGCTGCAACACATTCCAAATAAATCCAAAACAAAACTGAAACTGAATGATGACCTCACAGGGGCCTACAGCCTGAGCTATAGATTAGTTCTTTTAAACAGCCTACATTTTTCCACATGGAGTTAACCATGATGATGTGTGTATCATTGAACTCATGAGCCAGTGTTTTTCTTTTTTTTTTATTGGCTTGAGGCCTAAACATCTTGAGTAGTATAAACAGCCAGATTGTGCCGTCGTTTCATGTCCTCTATTTTAGTTTTGCAGTGTCGGGAGCGGAGGGCTTGTGCAGTGCCCCTCTAGTTTAAACACTACACTTTACATTAACCAGCTCCATCCCAAAGCTGCACATCAGATGCTCGGAGATGTGGTTTGAAGTGCGATGCATCAAACACAGCAATCTCTTGAGTACACATTTGGCTCAGATACACTGAGGATGATCCAGGAAGATGATTTCATTTGTCTCCAGCAGGACAGCCAGAAGATGGCCAGCACACAGTGTTTTGTTTAGCTTTTTTATTTTGCATGTATATTTTAATATGTTAATCAATCAGTTTGTTTAAATGTTTTCTGTTCCTTTTTTTGCTGTGCCAGGTTGGCCAAAGGAGACCCGTGCTTATTTCTGCCCATCTTGAGTTATGCCTTCACCTCCTTTTCCTCAGCTGTGGCCGAACACCTGGTGGAGAATGGCGTTGAGCTTACAGGAAAGAATGACCTGAGCTTCATCGAGACTGTTTACAAGGTGTGTACGTTTTATATGACGTGTGGTGTATATATATTTTAACAGACCTTTACATTGAAGAAATACTGCATTATATTTATTTTACACATTCACATGTGCACATAATTTCCACATGAATAAAATTTATTAGACCAACACAGTCATTGCCAAAAGTTAAGTACACCTTTGAATCAAGTAAACTCAGTGCGTCACCCTTTTTTATTGTACATCCGCAAGTGTCATCATTGAGAGTATTTCTGAAAATAAAATTGAGTTGCATATTTCAATTACAGACCAGTTGCAATTCCAGCTGAGTCCTCTTTTCAAAATCTGTTCAGGATGTTGTGTCTTGGAGTCATTATGCTGAATCTTTTAGCTGGTAATTTTTCGTTTTATTGAAGATCAGCAGCAGGCCTCCTTTTTATCAGCATGTTGTCTTTTACTATCTGTTATTGACTGCTTGGATCCTTTATGCGTTTGCCTTCATCAGCCTTCATGCCATAAGTCCCCATGTGCTCCCTGATGCTTTCTGAGGAAATCAGCAGCACTCATTTCCTGATAGTGGGGAGTCTCTTATACCCACCACCGTATGCTGATACTAATAATTAACTTGGCTAAAATGGTTCCAGTTGCTTGCTGCAGTCTTACAAGAAGAATTTTGAACCAGAGCTCTGTTCTTTGACTTATTTTTAAGATTTTGAATAGGTTCCCCTTTTTGTTTACCAATGCTTAAACCTTTTACTAGGGGTTATTCCAGTATAATAATGAGCACCAGAATGACTTTGAGCCATAATGTGGATTTTTACTATATTGTTATTAGCACTATGTCATTGCAGCTAAAGATGGAAACACCAGCAGCTTTTTCCTCCATCAAAATGTATAGGAAAATGAAGAAGCTATTATGTTATTATTATTATTATTATTATTATTATTGTTTTATTATTATTGTTATTATTATTATTGTTGTTTTATTATTATTGTTATTATTATTATTATTATTGTTGTTGTTGTTGTTGTTTATTATTATTATAATTATTATTATTATTATTTATTCATTTATTTTTTTCATTTATCTTCCTTGTATTGTACCAGAGTTACAGGTCTGAAATTTAATTTGGTGCTGAGGTGGGGAGTTGGGGGTGGAAGGATTCTAAGGCATAAATAACTAACAAAATCCATAATAATCACTTGTTTATGTAATTAATCCTTCATTTTATAAAAATATTGTGCCCAGATATTACAAATACACATAATTTTTCATTTACAAGGCCATATGGATATGTCAGTTAAATACAAATATTAATGCTAATAAGATTTTTTTAATTTACAGGCTTAATTATGTCTTTATGTCTTCTTTGAGTGTGAATGTTTTCCACTGTGAAAGTATATACTGTCACTTAAATATATATAAAAATGGATGTCCTGACCTGCTGCCTGGCTCAGTTTTAACCTGGCATCCTAGCGCTTTAAAAGATGATTTAGGTCCGACCAGTAGGTAGCACTACTGCCTACCAGCCATTTTTGTATTATATTTCAGTAAGGTTTAAGCTAGCTTAATGACCACAAAAAACTTCTCTTACACTGTGAATTTGCACACTTCAGGATACTTGAGCTACAAGTCTCTCCTCCTCTTCGCACGGCTTCTCGTTAAAATATTTCTATTAAATAAATATTAGATGAATCGAAGGTGTAACCTCAACTAGGCATTCTTTTAAATTAAGAGAAAGCACCCAAGCTGCGTTCTTGTAGCGGTCAAATTCAAATCAGGTTGTTTTTTGTTTTTTTGTTTTTTTTAGATTTTATTCTGATTAATACAAATGTTAAACATTTTTTAAATGGGTAGAAATATACTTGTGTGTGGAAACACTGCTCATTATTATAGTCCAGAGAGAGGAAAATATTCTAATATAAATTTCTGCTCAAATCATGCACCCCTATGTTATACTGAATCTGAGATAAAAGCATTGTGTTTTGCTATGCTATTCTGTTCTGGCGCAGAGTTCAGGATTTATCTGCTCAGGCTTTGTGTCGTCAGACTTAATATGCTTATCTTCAACCTTGTCCATGCACTGGGAAGTTTTACCCCTCCTATCTAAACCAGAAGGCTCTCCCAGAGAGCAACGTGATGTGGAGCATCTGTAGCCTACAACTCTATCCAGCTCAACTCATCTCCACTCCAGCTTCACTCCGGCTCCCTGCAGGCAGACTACTTCTGAGTAATTACTGTTTTGGTCCATGTTTCCTATAGACAGAGGGGAGAAAAAGAGTTTTTCATGTTGGTCCAAACCGTTGGATATGAGCTCTGTTTTGTGCGCACTACTACAAAGCAGATGAGCTGCTGTGTCTACTAGAACGTTCTCCTGTTCATTGACCCTCCGTGCGACTCAGGCAGGGCTTTGGCCCTCCTCCCAGCCTGAAGAGTGGCTAAAGTATGTTTGATACGCAGAGGAAAGAAGCATACCGGGATGCTACATGCCATCATGACGTCCAGAGAGCTGCAGAGGGCAGTGGAGGCATTTGCTCTGAATTAAAGGCGTTGTAACAGGAAAGCGACATTTAGCAGTGCTGTCATACCTTCCATTTCTGCCTTCCTCCCGTACGCTCAAGCAGATTGTTTCTATTAAGCTCTTTCCTGTGATTATTCCTGGTTGTTCCCCACATTGTCTCCTCTCTTGCCAGAGTGGGACTCTGAGTTGCATGTTTCAGTAGAAAAATGTAACACTTTGATTGCTAATTGTCAGATGGTTCTTCATCATCTGGGTTGTCCCCTGTCCTCACTGTTAAATTGAATGAGAATGTACTCATGTCTCTTTGGTTAGGTCCTGCGTGATCTCTTCAGTTACAAGCCTCTGCTGACTAAGCAGCAGTTCCTGCAGTTCGGTTTTGCTGAGAGAAAGGTTGGCCTTCTTTGTGACATAATTGGCTTTGTGCTGGAGAAACACAAACAGCTCACAAAAGGCGCCAAGGTACTGATTGTGTGGCTTGATGTTGTTTATAAATGCAAAAATTTGGCCATACATATTCACATGTAAAAGTAAATCAATGGATTTCCAGTCAGAGGTTTAATTTAATTGAATTTAATTTAACTTTGCAGCCTGTTAGTCCACCAAAAAGAAGGCTGCTATCCCGTTGTGACTCGAAATCTACAGAATTCCCCTCACACAAACAAACCCAGAGGATGTCAGCTCAGACAGTAAGTAAAAACTAAATCAACACCTTTTGCAAATCAGTCCCATTAATGTTCATTTTAGTATCCTCACTAACAATCACATAATTGTGTTATTAATAGTGATGGCATATACTAGAACAAAGCACAACAAGATGCTATGTCACGGTGATTTTAATTTGCTTAAGGCTTTTTATGACTTGCTGCCTTTATAAAATTCTGACAATATACACCAGTGCTCAATAAATAATTTTGTTTATTAATAGTAATAACCACAATAAGCCTTTCTTCCACCACGCAGTACAGTTTAATTTGGCTATAGCTGCCAAGCAACACAACAGTCAAAAATTATCCCATAAACAGGAGCATGTTTTTAATGACACAACACATTAATACATAATTTAGTTGGTCATACAGTAGACCTTCGTTCATTCATTTAATTTATAGTCACAAGGGCAAGTTGTTCATTGTTCTTTTTTTTCTGTGGAGATTAGATTAAATGTACTCCACTTGTATAAGGAAGAGGAAGCTAAAACACAATTTCCAAACTGAAATTCAAAAAATTAAAAAAAGACCTGGCAGACCTCCAAAACTGTCTCCATTAGATAAACAGTAGGCCTACTTAATTACTTTCATCTTTGAGAAACAGGAGAAAATCCACAGGTGTTTCTGTCTATCCTTTCACTGTGAGAAGACAACTCAGTGCTATGGGTCTGAAAGGATGTGTAGCTCTTAAGAAACAGCTACTGATAAAATGAAGGAGACAAAAAGGAAGTTACTTGGATTGAGTGAAGCAGAAAATGCAACCAACTTCTAATACTGAACTTTGGAGGTGTGGAAAGGCTGGTCACATTAAATACTGAAAAACTGACATTATATTAGCTGTTGCAGTTTCTGTGTATTTTTCCTGATGCTGAAAAATGAATAACTTGGTCATGAAATGGTTGTTTTTGACTAGAAAGTAAATAAATTAAGAATGGGCTTTTCACATTACTGTGTGTGTGTTACTGTATGAAGTATTTTAAAACAACTCTGAATTATGTATTATGTATTAATCATACATAATTAATTATGTATTAATCTCATTAGATTTTAGAACCAGACCCATTTAGAATTTCCATGTTAGTAAATGGTTTCATTATGGGGCTCGGTCTGGAGTACGGTATTATGGCTGATTGTCTTGTTTTGTGCAGGTTGTTCTGAACAGGCCGCTGGTGGAGAGGCACTTGAGCTGCAGCACTCCAGCACAGTTCAGCCTCTCCTCGGACGAGCCGCCCCAGCAGAAGGAGGACGTGGCTGATGATGATGAGGACGGAAAAGATTCTTCTGACATTATGAGCCCTCGACCTGCTGCTCACATGGTGCAAATCTGTATAAGCTGCATTCTTCACATTATCTCTGTCACTAGCTCACCCACCCACATATGCGCAGATTCATTCAATCAGGCACTGCAACTATCCATTTGTTTATTTTCCTTTGGGAATGCACCATCTGCTGTCTGCACGAGCCACCTACCGTCTGTTAGAGCGTCTGTTGAAGGAGTGAAATATACCTAAAAGTGCCAACATAACAATACATCCAGCCTATAGCAATTAATTGTATGCTATTAATGAGTTAAAAGACGCACATACATGTTCTCACTTGTGCATGTTTTCTCTTAGGGATATGTGTCAGAGAACATGTTAAGGGCAGTGGAGGCAGGTCTGCAGGACTGTGTGTGCAGGCTGGGGCAGCAGCTGACCCTACTGGATGCGAGGCTGCAGGCTCTGGAGAAAAGCATGGCTGGGAAAATCACTATAGAGCGCAGTGACTGGGAGAACCTGCAGAGCCGTGTGCTGCTGCTGGAGACTAGACTGGCTCTGAACTCAGCGCAGGTACCACAAACAACTCAAACTTAACAGCTTAGTCTAGTCTAGCTGGACCAAATCCTGAAGTAGCTCTGCCCTGCACATTTTATTGTTTTCTTTCCTCTAACACACCCACTTCAACTCAGGAAGGGCCTTTAAATGAGCGTATTGGTTTGTGTAGGTGTGTTAGACCAGAGCCATGTGTTCTGGCTTGCCATGCTTGGTACCCCGGTAGGAGGGGTAGCCAAATTCAGCACGGGTACCCAAGTACTGTACTGGTCACTTGGCAGTAGAATTGACAACAAAATCTTCACAGATTTGTAACCAGACTATAACACACTGCTCGGTGGAAAAATGGGATAGTTGACCACAGATTTACATGAATCATTCTTCCAAATTGGTTCAAAGAGCTCAAAAGATATTTCAGACTTTTAACTGACTTGGATTTTAGACTAAAATTATTTTGCTTTGAATGACCATATACCTTAGTTATGTTTATTTTATTAAAACAAATGACAGAACATTCCATTTTGTCACTACCAAAACAGCCATAACACTACTGAAACTTACCAAATGTTTCAGTAGTGACTGTTTTGGTAGTGATAATTTTAGATAATTTTGAGCATAATTCAAAACTGTTAGCCAGTACATAAATAGCAAATTGCAAAATTAAGTAAACATTTTTCAGAAGTTGAACATTTTTGTATATTTTTATCTTACTATCACAAGTAGTGCCTTATATGTATAAAGTTATATGCAAAATCTATACATCCCTGGTCAAATTACATGTTGCTTTTTTCTAACTGAAAATAAATATGCATCCTCTACAGTGTGCAGAAGAACATTTTGTAGCATCAGCTGCCCTCTTCCCCGAGCAGATGAATCTAATGAGTTCTATCAAGTTCAATTCAAAGAGTATTCAAAGAGAACTCAGTCGAAAATTGGTTGTGTTTTTTAAGATCAGTGAATTATGTACTATTTTCATCAAATCTTGTGCAGTACTATGTTGATTTTGCTCTTGAGAGCGAAACATTGAGCTGGACCTTCTTTTTAAGCCTGTTGATGTGATTTTAATACGTGTAATGAATTATGTGGTCTAAAAATGTCCTGAAAATCTGACACCTCTGCCTTTTAAATGACTATTTCAGGCTTTACAGGGTGCACAGCAGCGTTTTTTTTTTTTTTTTGCGTTTTATGATGTATTTTTTTTATTATAGGTTAAATACAGCATCAACAGTAATTGTGCATTAAAATGTGCAGATGTATGTTCTCTGTAAAGGATGTGTAGTCAACAAACCAAAACATTTAATTTCTCCAGGGTTTAGGCACCTGAGAAAATTCTATGTAAAAAGCTATTTAATTAGGCAGTAAGTGTTTATTTGCACAGAAAGACACTTATATTAGAATAAATACAAATATTGTATTCACTTATAACTAAACTATTTTTATTAAACCATTAACCATTTCATTTAACCATTTCCTGTCCTTAAGGACATCCAGTATTATTTGTGAAACCAGTACCTTTTTTGACTAATCAGTGTTCATTAAATTAAATCAGGTGTGCTAATGGACTTGAACATATCTATGTTTACTTTGGGCATCAAGGAGAAATCTGGAACCAAACCTCTGTCCTTCTAACTAGCTCCCAAGATATTAAGTACTAGTTTGAAAACATTGCAGTTATGCTTTTTGCATTTTGTGCTGCCCTATTGAGTATCTTTTGGATTTCTTCATCTGTACAGGATCCGGGTCGAGCAGGAGGATTGGTGAATCTTCCAGCTGGTGAAGAGAAGAGCTACTTTACTGAGGAGACAGGTGAGGATGGCTCATACTGGCCACTTTAAACTCTGTATCAGCATTGAGGACATGACTCTTAGATGACGTTTCATGTTTACGATGTTTAATTTCTTGTACATGAGGGCTTTAGAGGGGAATTCTGCCAGTTGTTTTGCCTAAATAATACTTTAAATCAGTAAAGTGCAGAAGTCATAGAGAGTGGTTTGATTCTTTCTAGAAAAATGTACCAAGTCCGAATTGTTTACAGTGGTGGTGATAGGAACCAGCCATCTGAAGCGTTTAATGGCTTTAAAAGCTACAGTCACATAAAGACTTTGTTTTGGCCTAAAACATTTTAAATCAATTTATGGCAGAGTGCAATATGCAAGATGCTATAATAAAAAATAGAACCCATATAAATTAGGCCTGCTGCTATTTTACCACTATTGACATTACATATGAAACTCAGAAGATGTGTAGGTCCACTGGTGGTTTTGATAGCACATATATACTATCACCAGCACTGTTAAGAAATCTGAATTACTTTTAAGTTACTGAACAATTTAATATCAACCCGTTCTGAATTACTTTGTTTTCAATGATTGAACTTTGCAAAACGAAAAAAAAAAATCAATGTATGTTCTGTGGTTGTATATTTGAAGACTTAAAGTTGTCCCTTTATACGTGTCACTAGTTTTAGAGTCAGTTCCCCTGAGTAGTTCCATGGTGGTGATGCGATCAGCATTAGACAGTAACAGTGCCCCATATACTTCAGCCAGCTTTCCACCATCATCTCCAGAGGTGAGTTTTATCCTTTTGTCCATTTATCCATCCATGCATTTCTTAATCTACACTGTATGTCCAAAAGTTGTGGTTGGATTAGTTCTGGATCAGAAACATCACTCCAGTTCATCCAGTTTATCCAAGCTATTGGATAGAGCTCCGTCTATCACTTCAGTGAATGCAGTTCCACTGCTTCACAGCCCAGTGCTGGGGGCTTAATACCCCTACTTAACATTTAGCCTTGGGCAACATGACCTTAAGCTCAGGTGAGCCTGCTCCAGGTGATTGTGTGCAGTTGGACATCTATGTCCGCAATGAGTGCACCTTAACGTAGTTGAATTCACTAATTAGAAAGGCTGTCTGGATACTTTCCTTTTGTCTCTTGAGTGAAAATTCTAGTAAATGAAAAAAGAGTGAAAATGTGCACTTTGAAAAAACTTCAGATGCTTTTAGAAATTACTGACACATTCTGAACTATAATCACATATTTTGTGTGGGTGTGTTTGGATGCCCGTAGAGCATCCTGGCGTGTCCTGATGTGTATTAGTTTTATTAGTAAAAAACTTTCTGGCAGCCATTAGATGCAGAGCTGTACCCTAGGTCATCTCCTGTACCCGCTTTATGTTTCCATTGACTTTCTGTGCAAACTGCAAGCGCTAACATAAAATTGCGTAAAATGTTTGTCATTTTTGTTGCCCAGAAGCTTATTTCTTTTTAGCGATAAAAATGCTTTACATAAAGATGTAATTTCCTGCATAAAACATTGGGTGTTGGTTTATCGATAAAAAATAAATGTTTGACATGATTCCACCTCTAATTTCATGTATGCGGTAACTTGTGTACCTTTGGCTTCTCTGTCTCCCCCATAACTTACTGTCAAAGACACTCTGTTTATTTATTTTTTAATTTATTAGATTTTTAAATAACTGTTATGTGAGACATCACATTTCTCTGCCATATGGAGCTGCTTGAGCACTTACTGTTTTTAGAAAAGCTGTAGTCTTTTCTGTGCATCTCTCTACGCTCTCGTTTCCTCTTTGTCATGCTGTCTGTTTTTTTGAAGAGCTTTGTGAGGGAAAAATTTGTAACATGACACCAAACTGTAAATGCATTATTTTTCCATTGTGGATTTTTGCAACATTTCATGTACTGATACGATTTTTCTGCTAAAGCTGAATGGAAGAATGTTTTGCCAACATTATTATATGTTGCAGACAATTTCCGTTTCCATTGCCTATATTGACTGACAAACTTTTTGAGACATTACATGGTTTTAGCTGTCATGCTCAGAGGAAGATCAGATAAACTGAGCTGAAATTTTGAAAATCGTTGTTTTTGTTTTAATCATGTCCTGTCTTCTTCTTTTTAGGAGAGTATTAAAGAAAGACTGGAGAGAATAGCCAATATGTAAGTACAGTTGTGTATTTCATAGGTTTGTGTCTTTCCCACTATTTGTGTGACCGTGTAAGATCAGAGAGTGAGGGGGACAGAGAGAGTACATACTGACCAAAGAAAAAGAAGCATCTCCAAAATAGTAATTTTACAGGAGAAAGCAATAACACTCTTACCTTTCAATGTAAGTTAACGTAAAGAGATTTTATTCCAACGGATTTTTGAGCATTTCTGTTGGGCCGTTCATCATGAATTTTTTAACACAATATAAAGGACAGCTGGTGTGTTGACATGATGTAGAAAAATAAAAATCAACAAAAATGCAGACTCTTTTTTTGGACACTTACGATATGCAGTCTTGTATTATGTTTCCATGCGTGCTCACTACAGTAGAGTCACACCAGTGTTTTTTTTTTTTATGTTTTAGGATGAAGAACACATCCAGCCTTTTGAAGAATATAGAGCCCACAATATGATTTTGTGGAATCATGTATTCAACACATCCAGATGAATGTAAACATGTAAGTGTAAAAGGGACCTCATCAGATGGCCAGTAGTTGTTACAGTCAGCAATATTTATTTATATGCTTTTTGTAAGGGCTTTTTATGCATTTTCCAATACATGGGCCAGTGAACAGACAGTTTTAGAAATGAAGCTGAGTATTTTTTCAAGTTAATGATTCCAGTGTGATCTGTCAGAACCACTTTTATTACCTAAACCTGCAGTTTTATTGCATTATGCAGTGCCTTCTGTTGCTGTAGCTGCATGTCAAGCCTTTTCTGCCTTTTGGCTAATATTAAGTATAGTTGAAATGTGTGTCTTGTCCATTAGATGTCACTGTAACCCTGACCCAAGGTGCCTTTATTGTGCCTTTGCTGCCCTCTGTGGTCCACTCTGTGTATTGGCACAAGTGTCATAAATGGTCTAATTCAGGGCAAAATCATTCTGTATTCGATTTCGGTTTGTACATTACCCTAGCTTTCAGATCAAATAAAACCATGTAAGCAATGATAATGTGATGCCTGTGTGAAGACTATTTATATTCAGTTTGTTCATGGCTGCGGATGTGTGAGGATGAATTATTAATTTCGTTCAGCTCTCGTTCTTTTTCACAGTGAGAATGAAAGTCAGAGGGGGACAGATTCTGACTGAGTGACAACGCTGTGTTGATGATGGTATGCAGGCTCAGTTCATGTGTGAGGTTCTAATTTCATGTGTGTGTTTTACATTCTGCTTCAGTGGAGTCGAAACACACGGGAGTGTAATTAAAGTTGTGGCAGACGCTGTAGCCCTCCCACCCTTACGTACACTCTCAGCTGAAGCTCCAGAGTGTGTTCTGTAATGGCTCTTAGAGGATTCTGCAGCTTTTTAATTAAACCTTTCAAAGCTGACTCCTCCATTTGCTTAAGCTCTGTTGGAGGTAATCAAGTCCCAGGCTTTTCTAAAGGAAATGCTTCAGTCTTCTTTTCTCCCCCTTGGACCCACTTTTCATGAGGTACAGAATACTAAATACACTGGAATGCCCGTTTTCATTCTCACATTGTGACCTACATCTGCTCTGTCCACAAATGCGTGGTCAGTTGGACAGCCATACAGAACATTGACAAAAAAATTCACATTTTTAATAAAATATAAACCTTAATTTCACAAAAGCCAGACTAGTATGTGAAAAGAAGAGGTATTAGTAAATTCTGTGTAACCTGTATTAAATTGACACCAGTACAAAAACACAAATACAGGTCTGGACTGCAGGCAGGACAGTGTAGCACATGCAGTCTCCGATTACATTGTAATGTGGCTTGGCGGTCATCATGTTACAATAAGTATGGATGTTCCTCAGTACAAATTGACATCCCTCGGAAAGCACAACATACATTATTTTAAAATTATTTATGAACTTTTGGATTATTTGCTGATGCATTTTTAGTAAAGTGCAAAGGACTAGTTGTTTCCTAGATGCTCCTTTTATACTGAAACATTTTAAACTGAAACGTTCCTAGTCTTAAATTCCCTCTATGCCAACTTCTATGGAATTTTGCAAGCATTAATTCCAGAATGAGTGTATATTTACAGTAAAAACTGTTTTAATTTCCATTTCACATGCTGTCGCAAGTTTTTTGGAACTTTGGTTTGCACTTCAGTTTTATTATGTGAGTGTGTGTGTGTGAGATCACAATACTATGTTTGTATGTATGTATTTATTTATTTGTTTGTTGTGTGTTACTGAGTTAATATTAGCTTGTCATTGTCATTTTTAACCTGACTAGTTTCGATTTGTTATGGAGGCATAGTCCAGCTCAGTTGGATAACATAACATTTTATATGCTAAATTCCAGTTTTCTCACTCTAAACAAAAAAAAAAAATTCAAAAAAAGTTTTTGAATGAGATTTTTAACCTTGCATTGGTTCCTATGAAAGAATGCATTTGTGACCTATTGTTGTGGTACATAATGTTGGCTTGTAATCCAGCTTTTTGCCTTCTTTTGTACAACTAGAATGTATGCACAAGCAGAGCAGTTTCAGTTGCCTACAGTAATGCCTCATTATAAAATCAAGATATGATTGATTGCAGTATACATACTGACCTGCAGTTTGAATGGAATGGTTATTTGCATTTGTGTAATCGCAGAGAATAACCTTTGGATGGCCTACTAGCCAGTTATTACCTAAGATGTTTTCCTGATTTATCAGGTTTCAGGTTTGCATTGAAAATGCAACCCAGTCCTACATTTTTAAAAATAAATAAAATCCTGTTGTTCTCTAAGTTTCCTCATATCTGATGACAATTTTGAGTTCTGTGTAGGTGTGTGTGAAGTGATTGCTGCTCTAAGACACTAGTGTTTGTGTGGTGTAAAGGGCTGAGTTTTGTGCTATGAGTAGAAGGTACTATATGATTAATATGACCAGTATTAGATTTGACTAATATTTTAAACTAATATATAGTTGTTTTTTTTTGTTGTTTTTTTTGTTTTTTGTTTTTTTTAAAAAGATAATTTGGGACACTAGGCTACTAATATTTGTATATTATTACTGGTACTGCAATTGTAATCCTACGGAAATAAATGGTAGATTTCTCTAATGCAAACTCTGTAGCGACAAGTGAAAATCTCCTTCGGATTTATGAATTTTCGCTCAGCCATCAACGAGCTAACCTCCATAGCGGTGAGGGAAAACCCCCCTTGGACTGAGAAACTATCTCAGCTGGCAACGAGCTAACCTCTGAAGTGGCAAGTGAAAACATCCCTCAGACTGAAGAAATTTAGCAGACAATGGGCTAACTTCAGTGGCAGCAAGTGAAAATCTACTTCGGATCAATGAACTTTTGCTCAGCCATCAACGAGCCAACCTCCATAGCAGCAAAGGAAAATCTCTTTTGAACTGAGAAACTTTATCTCGGCTGACACCAAGCTGAATATCTGTAGATTTTCACTCGTCACTACAGAGGTTACTCTGTAGTGACGAGTAAAAATCTACAGATGTTCTCTCATCTGGCTACGAGCTAACGTACATAGCGATGAGTGAAAATCTCAGAACAAACTTTCTCCCAGCCACAACAAAGCTAACCTTCATAGTGAAGAGTAAAAATTTCCTCATCTAGCAACAAGCTAACCTCTGTAGCGGTGAGTGCAAATTTCTGTGTTTTCAAAATGTTTATGTATCGGCATCAGTAGATATGTACAGGGAAAATATCAGATATTGTCATCAGCCCACGATTCCTATATTGGTACATCCCTAAAGACTACAAAGGACCAACTGTGAAGTTTCTACAAAGTCTGCAGCACTAGATTACTGCACTGTTGTGACTGAGTTCTTTTGAACATAAATGAAATTATTGGCCTCCTATCACAGATTTGTTAAGGCAGCTGAAAAGAATAATATTCTTGCCTTCATTAGGCTAATTTCAGAATTTAAATGAGGTGGGAGAAATTCACATCCCATTTTTTCAGTTTCAATAATATAAACTAATTCCAGGCATGCAGTATTTCCACTGAAAATTATTACCCCCTTTAACCTTTATGTAGCTGATGATGGGTGCAGACTCCCATTCCTCATTCCTAGAACTTAATAATAGCTCAGTTGGCTTATATTGTTTCCTCTGTAGTTACCGAATAAGTCTTGTGGATGATGTGAATGTCTGTTTAAGCGTTAACTTTTATTTGAGAGGAAGTTCATGGAAATCAGCTTTTTGGCCTTTATTGGGCTTTGTGCACTCGTTTTGTTGAGAGTGCAGAAAGGTGACTTCGACAGTGTTTAAGCCTGACCCCTGCAGCAGAGAGGATTTGATTCCCGGTTACCTCAGGCAGAGCCTTCAGCCACAGCTGAATGTGATAAGCACAGAGGACTACAGAATTCAGATTCCTCCAACCAGCAGCACCCTCCTTCTGGGGTACCCAAAATATCGCCTCCGTCCAGCAGGAGGCTTTGGCTCCAGCTCAGAAACACGTCTTGCCCCCACCAACCCACCCACCTTGAGTAATCAACAGAGCTGCAGTGGTCCGGACAGGCCAGATGTGCCTAAGCCCAGTAAAGACTTTAATCACCTCTGTGCCGTCGGTATGCTTCCATAAGATTGTGCCTTTGTGCTGCAGCAGTGTTTTCATTCTCTGTGTGGAGTAGTTTAGAAACAGAAAAGTGAACAGAGTGCTGCAACCAGTAATATCTGGAATATCTCTCAGATGCACAGGACATACACTGAGTTGTCAGTTTATTAGGGAAACCTACCTTGTACCTTCAAATATTGTCCATCATATCAGAAAAACCTACCAATTAGATGCACTTAATAGGATTATTTCCTGCTGTAACCAGAGGCATAGCCAGAGCACAATTGGCACTGGCTGCCCCTGAAAGCTGGTTGGCCACCCTGGATGTCACACCAGATATTCTGTCACATAACTAGTTAACGCTTCCACCGACTGAACTGGGAGAAAGTACTTCAGCACAGAACTGTTTTGCACAGTTGAACACCAGCAGAGGGAGAAACAAAAGTGAGATTTTGTCTTGTACATCGGTACACTGTCTTTTTCACTTCCAGGAATCTCGATATGAATGTACTTAAGTAAACAAGAGCATTGATGTTTTATTTCTCCCAGAGACGTTACTCTCTCTCACTGTTATTGACCACTCAATTAAAACATAGTCTTTGCCACAATTCACCACTGAAATTTTTAGTTAACTAAACTTAAAAAAAAAAATAAAAACAGCAAACAGAATAGCCTAGCTAGCTAGCTGCTAGTAAAAGTTGCCTGCTTTATCAGTATTGAGGAATTTGTAACTGATGACTTGTGCTTTTTTCATTTCATAGCTGTTTCAGCTGTGTGTGAAAGAGTATATTTGTAAGATATGCATATAAGTGCATAAAAGACTCATAGACCATGACTTTTTATGGGTTTATTTGGACTTTGGACCCCTTAAAATTGCCCTGGCCACCCAAAGGCCACCCCATTCATACAGTCCTAGAATCCCTGCATAATTTATCAGCCTCCCCTCTACTCCTTTCATCATTGATCAGATTGTGTCCACAAGACCACAGTTATTTGGGTGGCAGATCATTCTCAACAGAGCAATGACACAGACATGGTAGTGTGTTTGGTGCTGGTATGAGTGGATCAGACACAGCGGTGTTGCCGGGGTTTTTACACACGTCATTGTCACTGCTAGGTTCCGAGTGGTTCACTCCCCAAAAATACCAAGCCAAGAGTGGTCAGAAACTCACCATTGATGAAAGGCTAGAGGATGACTGACACAAATTGTGAATCAAGAGATGATCTTGAGTTTATGTACTCCAGCATGTTGTCTGATGCATAGTGAGGTGTGGTCATAAAGTGTTTAAGATATTAATGGTCAGTGTGGTTATTTCAGGTGGGGTGGATCTAAAAAGAGGATCAGTTTGGTTTTTAAATGAAAAATAAATTAAGTGGAACGCTGATGTTCTCTGAATGAGTCTCAGCATACCCACTCCAGTGCCCACCAATGCCTCAGAGTCAAAACCGAGACCAGGACGCGTCAAATCTGAG